GAGAGGAGTATGCACTCGGGTTGGGTTTTTCTTCTCGGTGTTTTGCTTTCTGGTTACCCTAGACATTTTGGCTTTGTCTTTCCTGTTAGCCTGTCTGTCGTGAAGTAACTGTGAATACTGCCTCCACCTAGTGGTTCGTTTCTTCTGTCGAGTGAGATTGGTGTGCTAGTTGCTTTGTTTTAGTTAGCAGAGGGGCTTGCGTTTTCCTCATGGAGGGATTATTTTTCTTCAGGAGCTCCCCCACCTTTGCGTGCTTCGGCGCCCACAATGCTCAGAACAGGGCTGGCTCCTGGTGCAAGCTGGCGGACTTCTGCGAGGGTCGAGGTAGGTTTGGAGAGTAGATTGAAAGCCGTCCGGAATGGAGAGCTGGTGAGGAAGCTCTAGCCGTTGACCAGTTTACATAGAGGGGTCCTTTTCTGGGGGTCAGAGCTGCGGCTGCTTTTCCTGAGAACACGGGCCAGAAAAGAGGCAGATGCGGGGAGAGCTGCAAGAAGCGTGGTAGAGGGTAGGTGTGCTGCTCCCGCGGTGCTGGGGACTCTCGGGTGGGCCGGGATTTACAGGATGCATTTGCATTCAGTTTCCCAGTAGTGTGTTAAAATAGAGTCTTCCCCAAACAACGTGTTTCATCTGGAAATTTAGGAGTAAAGTTTTGGCATCTTAGAATCATTTTATTGAAAAATTTGACGTCAGTGTTCTAATGAACAGTGACTTGAGCTTAAAGTCTTTGAATGATTAGAATATTTTGACGAACATAAAAGAATAAGAGAAAAGCCAGTCGTGCTTAAGAGTCACTGTGAACTGGGTATTGCTCTCTTCTTCACCTGGTGAGTGACTGTTCTCTTGTTTTAGCATCACTGTCCTGCATCTTTTCCCAGTCTTTTCGTTTCCTGTTCTCTGTACTTCGGGATTTAAAGCTCTCTTACACTTCTGAGGAGTTTGAATGACTGGACCGTGGATAACCACATTTTAAAACTGTATTTTAGGGATGTTAGGGGCTGGGGATTTAGCTCAGTGGCATAAGCGCCTGTCTTGCAAGCAGGCAGTCATCAGTTTGATCCCCGGTACCGATAAAAAGGAAAAAGACAAAAAATAAATAAATAAAACTGTATTTTAACTTTCTGTTCTCTTTAAAGATAATTGTGTGCCACATGTAGCCTGGAGACAAAAATGTACAGTTAAAAAAAAAGTGTAATGTTCAGAGAGTGGTTAACTAACTCAGACTCAAAAATGCTGAAAATTATTTAACTTTTCCTGACATGCACTCTGATTGGACTACCTTCTCAGGGCCAGAGAACAGTCCTGCAAAGCTGTATGGTTGTGCCACCTGGTGGTGAAATATTACAGCAAGTACTAAAGAGCTGTTAAAAATCTAGTAATGGATTCTTGTCTTCATAGGCATCGTAATTTAGATGTAGACTCTGAAAAGATATATGGCATTTTTCTTTACTGAGATTTGTTTTTTTTAAACTGTGAAGTTGTTACTTAAATATGATCAAATAGGGTCATTTTGCCTAATAAATTTCTGTTGCCATCTGTGAGACTCCTTTTGGCTTATGAAATTTATACATTAACAACTGTAATATACTTTAAGTACTTTGAGAATATCCCTTAAATTCAAAGAGATAACTTTCAAGAAGAGAAAACCATTAATACTAAGACTGTTAATGTGGATAGTTATTGACTCACAGGAAGAACAAAGTTGATAAGACCAAGGGTTTGTTTTATTTTGAGAAGAGAAATCATTTATTTACCTTTATAAAATCACAATGGGGATAGAGATGTAACCGAGTGGTAGAATGTTTGTCTTCCATGTGTGACACTTTGAGTCTCATTCTCAGCACTCAAGGGAAAAGAAAAGCAATAGGCATATTAATACAGGCATATTTAGCAGATAGAAAAATTGGCAGTATTGTATGGTCCTCAGATCCATTCAGGTAAATATCGCATATGTGAAGAATAGAGGCTAAACTAGAGAATGGAGACCAACAGAGGCATTCTTGGCCTCTTGAATTTTGTAATGTAGCTAAAGAAACAAGATACTAAGTTCTTACAGACAAAAACAGTTACTGTGTCAAGCGCAGTAAAAGCAAATACATAACTGGGAGAGGTAGGCAGGATCTAGTATACGGTTGCTAAGGAAGTAACATTTCAGCTGAGAGCTGACAGGTTTGCACCAGCCTAGGCTGGGGCCTTCTGAAGTGAGAAGGAGGTTGACAAGTAAGAGGAACTGAAAGATCAGGATGTCTCGGAAGAGAAGAGCATTGTGGTGTAAATTGAAACAGGAAAGATAAGTAGAAATAACTAGCCTAGGGCCGTGGAGCATATGTCTAAACTCTGGGCTTCAGAGAAATAGGAAGCTGTTGACTGGTGTAGTCAGGGAGTGTCAAAGTCAGATTAATGATGAATGAATTGTCACAGGGTCAGACTGGAATGAGGGCAGTTGGTTGGAAAGCCATTATGGTTTGTGGTTTAGCTACTAGAAAGCAGAAGTGGGCATAATGTGAAGCTACCGTATTTGGAGTATCTTTGAGGTGAAATAGCTTAGAAGTCTGGTGGCCGACTGGTTACAAAAGGGAAAGAAATAGAAGAGATAGCAAGGATGAGTACAAATTCCTGGCATTCATTCACTAAATATAGCTTGACTGTTAAGAGTAGAAAGTTGAATAGCAGTGTGCAGTTCATAGTACATCATCACTGAGGGTTGCAAAGTGTCTCTTATTTTGTATTTTTTATCCTCTTCCTTCACTGGCTATCCACACTCTCATTTTCCTTCTTTCCTTAGGGTCCTGCAGTAAAATCCATTATATATATTTCTGGAATATGTACCATGATATATAAAATACAGAAAATTTTGTATCTTTGATTTGGGATATTAAACATTTTACTTTGTCCCTTATTCGGTTGAGTTATTTGAGTTTTTTGTTTTTGAGACCAGGTCTCACTGTGTATTGCAGGCTGGTTTTGAACTGGCTTGTGTAGCCATGTTGCCCCCCAACTCACAGTGATCCTTCTGCATTAGTCTCTCAAGTTCTGAGATTACGATATGCACCACTATACCTGCAGTCATGTAATAACTGTATGACCATAGACAAGTTACATAGTAAATTTTGTCTGTTTCTTTGTCTGTAAAATGCGAATAATAATGGAACTTACATCACAGAGTTTGGGAGAAGTTTAAAAGTGTTAGCTTGTGTATTGTATTTTACAATTTTTGCTTTTTCCTTCTGTTCAACATAGTGCTTTAAATATATATCTGTATCTTTGTATATATGCCTAGTTAATTGCCTCCAATTGCTTCTTGGTATCTCATAGTATACATCTACTACATTATTCATTTCCCAAGTTACATGTTTGTGGGCTTGCTCTAGTTCCCATATCTCCGAATGTATTCTTGATGAAAGTTCTTTGCTGTGAATTCTTACTGACTATTGTGGTTTAGATAACAGATGTCCCCTAGAAGTCTCATGTGTTTGGAGTGGGGCCTGGTTACATAAACCAAAAAAAAAAAAAAAAAAAAAAAAAAAAAAACCTTCTTTAAATTGCAAGCATCAGGTATATTGCCCCAGCAATTCATCCTAGTGCTGAATACAGATTTACTGTATTTATTTTGTTAGAGCAGGAGTGTGAATCACTGCTCTAATTGAAGCTGACTGTGTGGTTTAGAAGCCCTTGGAAGTTGCTTGTGGGAGATGGAAAGATTTGGAGGTGCAGACCAGAGAAGCCCTAGAATGCTGTAAGTTTAGTTTGATGGGTGATTCTTTTGGAACTCAGAAGACCAGAATGCTGCTAGGAATGAGGACAGTAAAAGTCAAGCTCACGAGGTTTCACACTGAGATGAAAACTGTATTGGAAACCAACTAGATGTTTTATTCTGGCAAAGAATCTGTCTGCAGTTTGCTCGTGTTCCTAAACTTTGTGCGAAGCTGAATTTAAAGTGGCAAAGTAACTGGTGTGCTGGTGGAAATTTCAAGGTGTCCCAGTGTTCAGGCTTTGGCATGGGTACTGCTGGCTGAATTTAACTTCGTACAAATTGAGAATAAGAGCAAAAAAGCCATGCAGAAGTTTGCAGTCCACTAGAACAGAAGCACTGCACATTCTGAGGCCAAGGAGAACATGGTTGCTAAAAAAGACTAGCATTAAAACAGAGGCCCAGAACTTAGGGCACTGGGAAAGAAAGCAACCCATTCACCTCCCTGGTAAGCAGCAGTAAGCCTGCTGGCACACGGGCTGAGAATCAAACATTCCATCCTCTCTGCCATTAGCAAATGGAAGTCAAAGGTCTGAGCGTCTTTTGGGAGGTTGACTGTATGCAATATAGCAAATATGGGGGTTTCCTTCTACCATCTCTTTGAAGGCAAATATTGTTATCTCTGTTTTGCTTTGTTCTGATTAATTGTATTGCTCTATTCAATATTCTGTTTTGATAAGTTCTATAATGTTCTGTATTTGGTTTAATTTTGCTATACCTGATTGAAAGAATAACTATTATGAAGATAATGAGATATACTATGGTATCTATTACTGTTATCCTGGGAAGCTGCTGTGACATTCTGTACCAATTTTAGTGCATTGTCTCAATTGGCTTTGTTCTGTCTTGTTCTGTTGTATTTTAGTCCCTTCAAGATAAATTAAAAAAGCAAAAGAAGTGGCCCAGAAGCTTACATCGGGATAATAGAAAAGATGGCTCTGGGACCCCACCCTCCCATCACAGGCTCAAGAGTTTAGAAGGATAAACTCCTTTGAAAGACTTTACTTTCAGAAGAGAGACCCTGAGCCTCTTGCTTTTTCAGGGCCACATAGGGAAGTGTTTCCCTGAATTCAGTTATCCCGGCACTTAGAGGCCACTGCAACCGTAGTCAAAGAGATACAGGCTATTGCTTGAACTGGTGACAGATCTTAATGTCATCCACATGATGCTGGGTTTTTTGGGCATACAAAATGTAAGGCTTAGAGGGTTGTTGTAGTCAGGGGTTGTACACAGAACAATTCAGATCATGACATGGAGTTTATAATATTTTTATAATGGTCACCGGGAGTTAACACAGGAGAATGCAGGAAATCTATCCGCAACACCAAAGACATAGATTATTTAGTCAAGAGTCTAAACCCCAAGGCAATGTCCCACATGAGTCCAGATAAAAACCCAGAGCTCAGGACAATGCCTCCATGAGTCCAACTGGAAGTCCAGAGCCCACAAGAAGGACTCACGCCAGTCTCTTTTACGGATCCGTGCCGGGAAGACCCAAGGGTCAGCAGGGGAAGCCAGAAAGTCTATGCCAGCAGGATGAAGGAGCTGTGCTAGTGGGTTGAGGGTTCTGCACTGGAGCCGAGAAGTCACACTCACAACAAAGAGCGGGGCTGTCCTGAAAGGCACCACAGCTGTCCTCAGCGACACGGAGGCCCCCGAGCTCCTCCAACAAGCACAGTCGGGTACGTGCCAGGAAGCAGCGTGACGAGTTCATCCTGGAGACCAGGCAGCACATGTCTTCCCCTCCGGAGCCAGGAAGCAATGCTTGATGTCAAGACCAAAGCTTCTCCAGAACCAACAGCTGAGACAGCAACTCGTAGGAGAACCCACAATGTCTCCTTAACACCTCAATCCCTCTCCACACCTCTCTTCTTCTCCACCTCTTTATCCTGGCAACCCTCCTCAGGTGGAGCATCGTCTCTCAATGCATGCTGATGTAATCCAGCTGGCGTTAAGTTGATCACCAGTTTTCAAACCATAACAAGGGTCATGGTAGATTGTACCAATTTCTGAAGAAGGCCTGGGAGCCAAGTAAAAGAAATATAACAGGGTCACAGTCCCTGACAGGAACCCCAGAGAAGGTGATGCTTGAAGTTGTAAGAATAAAGTTGATGGTGCAGTGGAGACCCAGGAAGCTGGAAATACTATGCATCTGGAGCATCTGTGGAAGAAAACCTGAGGTGTAGAACAGATCTAGCCTAGAGGAGAGGTTATGTGGGCTGCGAGGCCATAGCGGTAGGGGCTGTCCAATCCATTTGGGCAGCATCTCACAACCATTTGCCCCAGGTGTTGGATCTAGAGCTTCATTACTTAATGTTTGCCCTGCCAGGTTTTGCTATTGCTTTGATCTAATTCCTTTCTATCCCAGTATTCCTCCCTTTTGGGACGGGAATGTTAACCATGTGCCATTGAGTGTTGGAAGTATTTAACTTTCTTTTTAATTATTTTTTTAAACAAAGGCTCATGACTAAGAGTCTTGACCTCAAGTCTCAGAGGAGATCTTGAATTTGGACTTATCAGCAGTGTGGAGCTGATAAGCCTTTGATGATTCTTAAAAGTGAGCCAAATACATTTTGCACAATAAAATGGACGAGTCTTTGAAGGCCCAGTTATAGTTTAATCTCAGATGTCCTGCACTGCCTCAGGTTGAGGCTTTTAGAAGGTCAGAGGTTGGGCCATGGGGCACCTTACTCTCCAGTTGATTGATCCATAAATACGTTCATTGGTAAATGTGCCGTTAGGAGGTGGGACCTGGCTAAAAGAAGTGGGTCATTGATGTTACACTGTTGGCAGTTACATCTTCCTGCCTAACTCCTGCCTTTGTTTGTTTCCTGGCTGCCATGATTCGAGCAGCTTTCCTCTACCACGCCCCTCTGCCACTTTGTTTCTGCCTCCAGCCAATAAGTCTTGTATTGAACTCTTTTGAAACGTGAGCCTAAGTAAACCTCTCCCCTTCTAAATTGCAAGTGTCAGATATTTTGTCCCAGTGATGGGAAAATGACTAATACATTGATCTCTGTATAAATTCTTCTGAGATAGAGACCCACAAATGAGGGTTTTAGGTTATAGGGCATACATATAACTTCATTTTATTAAATCTGAACTGATTATTTTCTGTAATGTACTAGTTTGTATCCACCAATGATGCATGTAAATTATTGTCTTTTCATATCCTTGCCAATAACTGATAGGACTTAATTTTGCCATTTCAACAGTGGTGTAAAGAGTATGTCAGTGCTGGCTGACTTTGAATTTTTCTAATGACTAATCTTCCTTGTGAACTGAGCTATTTGTCTACTTTTCAGTTTTTTCATTTACTGCCATATTTATTTCTGTGTCAGGTTTCTAGCTTGTCTTACTGATTTTCAGTTCATTGTGCATTTCTGATATCATTCTTGTTGCTTTTAGACCTGGAAGCCCATTTTTCATAGTCCTTCTGTTTCTTTGTCTATTTTGTCCTTTCCACAGGAAGCTTTAATTGTTTTTCTTTAGTCCTAATGCTTATTTTACCCAGTTGATAAAATTATTTACACTTCTTATATACAATGTATTTTGAGATATTTATACATGGTATAATAGTTAAGTTGAGCTAATTAACACATGCATTACCTCACATATTTTTGTGGTAAGAATAATACTTCCTTGGATATGTTGAAGAATAGACTGCATTACTGCAGCCGGTACTGAGTTAGGAAATGTGGCTGATGATAAAGTTTGTGAGTGAAGTAAAGATTAGTTCAGTCAAAGTTTTTCATTTGCATATCATAAAATTAACTGTTTATAGTTCTATAATTGTTATTCTGTTTATAGTGGATTCTTTTAATTGCCACCATAATCAATATAGAGCAGCTTTATTATCCCCCTAATTTCTCCATGCTAACTCTTTGTAATCAAACCCTTTCTCCACTCCTAACTCCTAGCAACTGTGGATCTCTGTGTTATCTCTATTATATTGCATTTTAAAGAATTTTGTGTAAATATGATTCACACAATATAAAATTGTTTGAATCTGGCTTCCTTTGGTAGGCATGATATTTTTGAGATTCACTTATGTTGAATCAATAATTTGTTCCTTTTCATCACTGAGTATTATTCCATTGTGTTGGAAGGTACCGAAACCTCTGCAAACCATGAGTTAGCCATTCACTTGAAGGCCATCTGGGTCATCATTCATTGTCAGGATTGTGAGTAAAGTTGTTATAAGCATTTGTGTATACTTTTTGGTTTTTTTTTCTTTTTCTTTTCATATAGAGTTTCACTATGTAGTTTAGGCTGGCTTTGAGCTCATTATATAGCTCAGGATGGCCTTGAACTCACAATAATCCTCCTGCCTTAGCCTCCCGAGTGCTGGCATCACAGGCGTGTGCCACCATGCTGTAAGCATCCCAAAGTGAGACTGATGGGTTGTTGTAGTTCCTTTTTTTATTGCTGAGACAAAATACTTTATGCCCAAAATTAAGGGAGGAGAGGTTTATTTAGCTCACTGTTTGCAGAGATTTCAGACCATAACCAGCTGGCTCCAAGGCAGGGTGGCAGATGGCAGAGGGTCAGCCGTTCGCGGCTGCCAAAGACATGGCTGCAGCAAAAGCAACAAGAACAAGGGGCGAGGAGCAAGCCTGTGTGCCCTCTCATGCTGTGTGCAGGCTCCGTGCCCAAGGGCAGGTGTCTGCTCACAGGCCCAACTGCAGTACTAGACAATGGACCAGTCAGAAACTCTAGATTCAGCTGCCTTTGAAAGAACCTGTTCCACCACGACCACATGGCGCTTTAGGGGACATCCTGATGCAAAACATAAGAATCATAGTAAATTTCCGTGGGGGCTGTGTTTTTTTGAATTCTCACCAGCAATGTTTGGGAATTCTGGCTGCTTGGTGGCCTCATTGTTGATATAGTCGATTTTCTTTTTGCCAGTCGAGTGGCTATGCAGTGGCATTTCATTGTAGTTTAGTTAGAATCATCCTTCTCTGGAGTCTGATTGGAGGGGCAGAGCCCTCAAATCAAGATGTTGACAAGCTCTTAAAAATGAGCCTGTCGGGGCTGGGGGTATAGCTCAGTGGTACAGTGTCTGCCTGGGAAAGGGCTGAGTTCAATTCCCAGTATCAAAAAATAAATAAATAAATAAAACCAGCTGAGTGATGATTGCTGCATCTCTGAATTCCTTAGGTTGAGCACATAAACCACCACCCCTTCCTCTCCCTTAGCTCACGTGGACAGAAGCAATGAGTCTGGCCAAATACGATGTCTGTATGAAACTAGCAGGTGCTGGTGTGGGTACCTGAGATTCAGCTTTGTTCTAGCTTTGACAGAGGAAGGGCACCCTGCTGAGAATGGCCAGGGGCGAAACAGGAATGGCCTTCTCTGTTGTGTCTCTGTTTTCTTTTCTTTCTCTTTCCCACAATAAGAAAGTTCTTGTACCACCCACACATGGGGAGAAGGGGGCCACTTATGGTCTCAGATTCCTATCTTCTTCAGAGTTAATCTTTACATCCTTTTCTTTGCACCAAAAATTCACTCTGCTGTGATTTTTAGAGACATAATGGACATTCACCTGCTAGAAACACTAGAATCACACCCAGTGCTGGAAAGTGGGGAGGACTCAACCAACATTTCACCAGATTGGAGGTCCCCAGAAGCTCTGTGGTTGTTTGGAGTGAAGATTCTAAAGGACATGTACTGACTGTGCCAACTATGGGTTGTGGGTATTGGAAGACACCACGCTCAGTTACCAGCCCTGACCACCATGTGGCATTTTTGTCTCATGGCAGGAGACTGAGATACAAAATAACTGGGGCTAGGATGATAGAATGGTTCATTTCAATCAGAAGAAACTTTAACTCCTATTTTAGGCCTTATCTTAGAGAAACAGTTTTTGTTCTCTAGAAAAATTTAGTGTAATAATATTAAGAATAGAAACACTATGTGATATACAAGGTTGATAGAGCCCAGCATATTTTCCAGATTATAACTGAAAACACATACATCATTTCTGAATTTATAACATGAGCCCTGTTTAGACATTTAAATCTCCTACTCATTGATGGAATCACATTATTCCCAGCAATTCAGCTCTTATTTATGGCTTAGAGTGACAAGAGTTGGAAAATCAGAATAGTCTTGTAGGGGCTGGGGATTTAGCTCAGCGGCATAAGCGCCTGCCTTGCAAGCAGGCAGTCGTGAGTTCGATCCCTGGTACCGATAAAAGTGAAAAAAAAAAAAAAAGACCAAAAAACAGAATAGTCTTGTACAAGAATAAAAATACAGCTTGAGCCTGCACCAGTCTTTACCAAGGATGAAGAGCACCTCCAGCCTCCCAGGACACATGACCTTGGGTAGGAGCATCTTTTCCTGTGGCAGACTAACCAGTGTTACTTTGTTTGCAGAAGTGTATGTGTCCTGTTATACCTGGCCAGCTACACCATGTCATCAACAACACTGGGACAGGGTCCTTTCATTGTGACACCAAAGGGATACATGTTGTTAACTGCCCTGAGCTGGTTGCTAGGAGCACACTGGTAGCTATGGGGCACAAATGCCCACAACCAAACCTGACCTTTGAGTGCCTGCAAGACCTGCTCCATCCACTCTCTCTCTCGTTTCATGAAAATGCAGCAGAAGGAGCTCTATCAACAAGAGGAGCAGAGACCATAAAGTCAGCTACATGCATGTCTGCGTCATGTCGGGCATAAGCAGAGCTCAGGGCTCTACCCCTTGGAACCTAGAACTGGTCCGTGGCGTCTCGTGCTTGCTTCTCTGGCTATGCTTCTTCTGGAAATTGGCGTAACTGCAATTCTTCCCCTCTTTACCAAACTACTGACTGAGCTATTTGTCATTCTATGTGCAAAGGGTGGTGGGCTTTATTGTAAGCTATTTTTTTATTTGTCCAAAGTGTCCTTGAGAGATTTACTGAGTATTCTTGAGACACAGATTCTTGTATTTTCTTCTTTCCATTGCTCTTCTAATTTCATTTTGTCTTTTCCTTTCTCTATCACTTCTGCTTTGTTTCCATCACCACTATGATTCTTGTTTGATGGATGTTAATGGTGATCCCAAGGCATAACTAACTGGTGTGTTATAACAGGATATGAAGGCAGAGTGGCATGTGAATGATTTAGTTTTTTTTATGTGTCTTTCCATCTCATGCAGGTGGCCCAGGTCTTATGTGTCTTCAGCTAAAAAACTTTAGTACCAAAATGGGGATTTCTGGAAAGTTCAAACTATTCATGTAAATTCACCATGGGAGGAGATGTCAAAGGTGGATATGCATCAGGATAATCAGGTTGCTGGACGTAAATGGCAAGACACAGCAACGTGTGTATGTGCTCTTCTGGTTTCTGCCCCTCTCACTGAAGAAATTGCTAATACTGCCTTGTGGGTGCTTTGGCTTCTCCCTTTATCCTTCTCCTCTGTTCCATGGAAAAGCCGTGATGTCTGGAAGCTCAGACATCTCAGGGGAGGCACATTGTGTCCTGAGCTTTCTTGAATTTCCTCATACATCCCATCAACTAGGCTGCATAGGACAACCATGCTAGGCCACAGTGAGCTTTACCAGCCTGATCAACTTTGTGTCATGTTGGGAGGAAGGTCAAGATGGGTGAATCTGTCTGCTTATAAGAATTAAAAGTGAATTTTCTAGTTACTATCAGTAATTCTCATTCATTGCCTCTTTGTTTTTCTAACAAAATTGGGGATCAAAACACAGGCCTGTCCACAGTGCAGAGCTGATGAGGAGCTGCACGTGGCTTAGCAGGGCTGAGGGCTACAAGGGGAAAGTCTGTGAGCCTGAGATGCTGACAACAAAAATTGAACCTCAGTGTAGAGGGCAAAGTGGGATCCATGCACCCTGCCTCTTTGAGGGTCCCTCAGCAGAATCCTGAGCTGTGCTCTCAGGTGAGAGATGATGTGGCCATCAGGCCGTGCATGTGGGAGACTTGAGTGCAGGGTACTCACATGGCTTGCTTGGGGTGGCCCTCCGAGTGCTGCTGCCCCTGCATGAGTCCTCCGTCTCTGCATCCATGGAGTTCACCTGCGTATGCACCTCCTGGCTGTGCAGAGCAGTTCCTGATACAGTGGGTGACATGCTGGTCACAGTCTAATGAATCTGTGGAGACGGGGGCTGGACTATTGGTATGGCATAGTGACTCTTTTGTCTTCAGATTCCCTTCTGCAGTGATAGGCTCCAGACTGAGCAAGAGAATTGTTCGCCTAGTGGAAATGTCAGGAAAACAAAGACAATGCCAAAATGCATTCAGAGTTCCACACAAAGGTTGCTAGCATGAGAAAAGGAAATTTCTCTGCAACATGGGATAAATAAGTTCTCTGTGCCTGGGCCTCTTCCTTCCATGTCGCAGCACCGTACACTATTTTTATAATACAGAGAAACTGCATTCCACAGAGCTTTCTCAAACATCCTGCTCCAAATAGTTCTGATAGTCCCTGAATTTATCATTTCAGTTGTTGTCTTGACAGGAAAGATTTTTCCATCTGCATCATCTTGATATAAATGGCATTGTTGGCACATTCATTTATGTGGACAGGAGCATCTGTTTGTATCAGCACATTCAGAGTCCTTTACTGGCCCTGAGGCCTGGCCATAGAGCTCGGCCAGGTTTGACACCAGGTCCACATGAGCTCCCCATGACACATGTGCAGAGGCCTTGGAGGAATGCAGAGGCCCTAGAGGGCCTTTGACAGAGGCTTTGCCATCTTTTCTGTCTATTTTTCACAGAGGACCTGCTAAAGCAACTTGGTTGGCCAGATTTCCAGTGTGCCCTTGAGCTTCCACTGACATTGGTGTGAACTGGGGCTTGCCATGTGTTCTTCCCTGGACTTCTCTGGTAAGGAATTTCTCTTATCAACCTTAAGCCTCTGAGAATGGGGCGGGGGGGACCACCATGGGAGGAACTGCAGAGTACCCATGAAGTGGTCCTACTACTTCTCAAATTCCAAACATGGCCATGCATTTGTAAAAATGAGCTCTCCAGGAGAAAAGTTTGGGTTAAGCCATTCTTTTCAGAGTCCTTTGTGCCTTCTTCTGTCCCTGCCTTTGCACACACAAAGGAGAGTTGCCCTCAGAGCCCCTGGGCCCAATGGGTCCCCCTGAGTGCACAGTCAGGCCAGGCTGGAACTCTGCCCAGCCCTCTCCACCTTGCAGTAAGGCTCTGCATTTGTTCTTTCTTGATCCACCAGCTCTGGGACAGAAGGACACAGCTGGGTGGCCCTATCCTCACTGTACTTCGGAGTGCTCATGCTGAAAAGTGGTGCTCAGTGAAAGGCATAATAAATTAGTGGGGGACAGGAATCTTTGCATCATGTGAGCTATGTGGAGCTATGTGGACAGCTGCTCATAAGTGTAAGATAAAATCATTAGAGGGAAGTCAAGTTGAAATATTCTTTCAATAGTCCAAAGTAGTTGTCAAGATATGTGACATCCAAGAGTGTCAACTTTTTTCATGCCATGGACCTCACCTGATCCCTAGACAGCCTTCCTGTTGGAGAGTGGTCATTTCTGGATTTTGAAGGTAATGGCAGGCTGGATCTGTTCGTGTCTCTCAAGTTGGGCCATTATTGTTCACAGGAACACATTCAAGCCAGGTACTATGCCTTCTGAAGATGTTTGTGGTCCTCATCCATTTGTCTTCCCATGCAAAATTTTGTTCACATTGTACTCCACTTCTCCAAGATAAGCTGCATTTAGTGTGTGTTGTGGTGACATTCAGAAATCTAAGTTCTAAATATAAATTACGGCATAGTTACCTAGGTGACAAATACTAATAGAGACACCTGTATGAAATCACCCTAAATTTTACACTTTGCATGTCTAATACAGTACCAAGCATGTTTGGCTAGTAGAAAGATATCTGGCAATGCACACACAGTGACAAGGAATCTAAACCCTGGAGAAGATCTAGCTGAATGCTTCTTTCAAGAGAACCATGGTAAGAAGGGAAAGTTCAGTGAACTTTCCTGATCCTTTCTGGTGTGGTGCAGAGAGTTGACCAGCTTTGCATCTCAGTGCCATGAACCTCAACCAATGACTGACTATAGTCTCTTGGCTTCTAACTCCTGCCCTAGGCAACACCTAGCATGATTAGATGTGATAAAAGTTCAGTAAATCCTGGACAAAAGTACCAAACACTTGTTTGCTTCTACCTAAGTCCCCTCATCCACTTCATGGTGTGTTAGTCAGTGCTTACCAGAGTCAGCTACAAAAGTGCAAAACATCTGTCTCTGGGCTTGAGATGCACAGGATCCAGTCAAAGGCCTGGAGTCCATGACAACGTTCTGTCCACATCCTTACTAGGAGGCTGTGAGATTCTAACACCAAGGCTCAAGGTGTGCAAGTGTAAGGAACCTTCTCCCAGTGACTGGCATAGGGGGACTTGGTGATGACTTCCCCAAGTTGCGGTCTCCTCTCCCTGGGACAGGTACCCAGTGCTCAGTGCTCTGCTCCCCTAGGGCTGAGAACTGGTGCACAGTGTTCAGCTCTTCTGTCCATTAGGCTCCTGCTTCAACACTAAGGTTTTAAATCATATTTCTTGTTCTTTTTACAAAACCACTAATCTATCTTGCAGGCTAAACTCATGAGAGTAGTGTTAAGTGAAACTGTTTAGTTTAATATTTGCCCAAAGAAGGTCCATGAGGGATCTGCTGCCTTTTCTGTTCTTTGGAAATCTCTCCTTGGTTTTTTTTTTCTTTTTAGTTCTTCTGTAGTTTTTTTTTTCTCCTTTTATTTGTTTTGTCCCCCATCTCCTCCTTCCCTTTCTCTTTCCATCATCCCTCATTCGCTCTAGAGGAAAGAACCTCCGCAAAGCCATGGAGTGCAGACGCCCTCTGGTGGCCGTCAGGGATCTCCACAAACTGGAGGTTCAGAAACCCTCAAATCGGGGTAAGTGCCCCAGGGGCTGGGATTGGCAACCCCTTCTCTTTCCTCCGGCTGTGACCATCCAAGGGTCTCCTGGGACAGCCTCGACAGACAACATCAGATCCCATGGATGGGGCCCACGCCCCACCAACTGGCCCCTCCTTGGATGGTTCCACTCTTTCGGCCCTGCAGCGCACGGAGCCCCTGGGGGGACACTCACAGGCTGGGGCCCCGTACTGCCAGACCCCTTGGGTGTGTGGCCCTCCGGAAGCCCCTAGCCTTGTCCTCAGAAGACCGCGTTGAGTCGGTGCAGCCAGGTGACTAGGCGGGGGTGCAGGCCCTCCTGCGGGGCAGGGCAGGGAGACACGCGGATGGGAGTGTGTATCCCTGTGGAGAAGAGGAGGCCAGTGTCTGCGTTGTCTTGGGAAGGAGCCAGCCAGAACAGGAAGGAAAAGCCAGATAGAGATCCCCATCACGAGGCGGGGGACTTTGGGGTCTGGGCTCGCCCTGGCTGTGTGCATGAAACTCAGAATTCCATATCTTCCAAGAATAAATGAGACCCTCAAATCCTGCCCTAGAGTTTTTATTACTAAAAATGCACAGAAGTGCTGTAGCAGTCACATAAAAAGTAGAAAGAAGGTGGGTGTGATGGTACAGACCTGTAATCCCGCGGCAGGAGGACCCCTCAGGGTTTGAGACTAGCCTGGGCTACATAGTGACACCCTGTCTCTAAAAACTAATCAAAATAAGTAAAAAAAAATATAGTTTTTTAAAAAGTGGCCAGTACTGACTCTGGTAGTGCACATCTGTAATCTCAGCCCTCTGGAAAGCTGAGGCAGGAGGACTGCAAGTAAAGCCCAGGCAGTTTAGTGATACCCTGTCTCAGAGCACAAAGTTTCAAAGGGGCTGGGAACATAACTCGGTGCAAAGGCCATGGGTTCAATTTGCTGTACTGTCACTGAGAAAAAAGCTCGAAGCTGGGGTGCATGCAGTGGTAGGACTTGCTGAGCATGTGAAAAGCCTTGCGTTTATTGCCCAGCACTGAAAACAAGTGCAAACACACAGGAAAGCCAAAGGAACTGTGCCGTCTGTGTACAGGCCCTCCAGGACTGGGGTCCCCTTCACCGTCTGTGTACGGGGCCCTCCAGGACTGGGGTCCCCTTCACTCTGAGGTGCTTCCTTTTAGCGTGTCTTTCCCAGTCTGCTGAAACATCTGTCCCTTTACCCTGAGCAACAGAAAACCACTAATGATATTTTTTCCTTTTTGAGGTAATGTTTGCTTGCAGTTTGGTGTTTGTTGGTTTCTGAGACAGGGTCTCGTGGTGTGATCCAGGCTGACCTCAAGCCTTGATGGGATCCTCCTGCTCAGCCTAAGTGCTGTGATAACAAGCACTGCCACACACCTAGCGAAACATGCAAACCTTTTTTGCTCTTTTGTGAGGTGAGTTGCTCGTGTAGCTCAGGTTAAGGTCCTGTGCTCTTTTCCGGCATTCTTTCCAGGTTCTTGTTCTGAACAAGTGATTTTTTTTTTTGAGACAGGGATTCGGTCTTGGTGCATGGTGCAGACTGACTTTTCTGAGCTTACTATGTAGTCCAAGATGGCTTCAAACTCTCAATCTTCCTTCTGATTGCTAGGATTACAAGTATGCACCACCAACCACATCCAGCTTCTCAACAAATAATTGGAGAAGAAATGGCCAAAAGATAGGTTTCACATTTATTAAAGGTAAGAAAAGAAGTAGGCTCTGTGGCACGGAAGTGGGCCTCCGGAAGAGCTTACCGTGGCCATGAGGTTAATGGCAGCTATGCCTTGTATCCGCCCCCCATGTCAGACCCAGGCCGCCCTATCAAAATCCTGTTTAATCTCCTGTCAGAAGACTCAAAGATAACACTTTCTGATTGGTCCCAGCACAGAGCCTGTATCCTGGACCTCTGCAATGATCATGGCCTAATCTCCTGCCTCAAAGCCACTGTGAAGCTGGGGACCATAAGCATGTCCCTCTCTGCCCCTGTCACCTTGGTCTTCTTTCTAAGGACTTTCAGAGGAAAGTCCTGGAAATCCCAAGAGTGGGTCCATGTCCTCCCATTTCCCTCTTCACTCTGGCTGCTTGAAAACTCTAAGATTCGGAGTGTGACTTGTTCCCAGCAGGCCCCAGGGCCGGAGTTAGGAACTTCAGGGTCTCATCTTGCCCTCCCCTCTCACTGAGTTCCTCTTCTGTTGTTTTAAAACCCTGCTGAATCCATGTACAACTCTACACATAGGCTCTCAGATCCTGGACAGAGACGGATGGA